AGTAAGATATCTTTCAATTAATGCTAATTGGCTAAAATAAGCAAAATTAATGACAAAAACGTTGATTGTTATGGAATTAGTTCCAAAAATATATGAACAAATATATTATACGTAATTAATGTATAGTATTGTTCGGAATATGCTTTTAAAATTATTTACCATAAATACAATCATATTTTATTTGATTTCAATAAATATTTTATTTTAGTTCGATTTTTTATTATTGAATATTAATTAGAAATCATATTCCAAAAAAAATTGAAAGATCCGATTTTAAAATTTTGGGTTAATTTTCTGATTTTGACCCGACCCATTTGTATTTGTACTTCTCTTTTAATAGTATAGAGATGATGTCGTCAAAACATGTATTAGAGTCATTAAATTTACTTGTTTTGAGCAAATAGAGGTTGTATAGGATTCATATCATTATAGAGGTTAAGGAAGACAAAAGAATATTACAAAATCATTACCAGAAAATGGTCTTTTTTTTTCCTTCTACACATCAAACACTGATTCTCATGTCTTTTGGATTTCTACCACAACAACAAACTAAACAAACACAACTCAGCCCATAAACCAATTAAGAAAGAAAAAAAGAACACATAACATAATCACCAAAAATAGAAAGGTTAAAAACGAAAGATGTACAAAAAGATATGAATTCTGAATCCCAAGATTTACCTTCTCTTGGCTGAATACTTGACGTGAGCGAGGACGTGTGGCGTGAGAGACAGACTCTAAAAACCCTAATGCGGCTTCTTCACTTTGATTCACTATTCGTTGCCTAGGTTCAAAGATCCGTCCTTCATTAGCTTGATGCTTAGGCTATTGAATCTCCCTCTTGAGTAATGACGGGACGCCTTTCTCCAATCAGTTCCTGTTTTCATCATTGCCGCAAACTCTTCGTAGCTTATTCGCCCATCCTGAAGTCAAAATTCCATGTCAGGCATAACCAGAAGAAACATCTTTTACACTAACTACAGTCTCTAAGGTTCTGTTTAACGATATGAGCAGTGAGCTCTCTACACATAGCATTTCCACTACAACATAGCAATCATTTGCCTTTAGTTTCTGGGGACCGCTTACACAACAGACAAAGGCGAAAAAAGAAAACAGAAAAAGTGTTTAAAGCTACATGTTTTGTCCTCGCAGGCTTTAAGAACTTTTTGCAAAGCATGTTTCCATTACCTATGTGTAAGACTGTAAATTCAAATGGTTTTATTATTATCAAACAAATAGCGCAAAAGAAGATTTAAAGTCACATCTCCTGTCCTTTGTGCCTTTTTAGGGCTTTCCTCAAAACTTAGGTTTCCTAACAGTTTTGCAAAAGAATGCTCTTTTGAACATGATGTCATACCATAGATAGAAGATTTGACACTTACCTTGTCTGTGTCAACTTCTTGGAATATATCATTGGCGACATCCACACAGTCATCTCCTCCATCTTCCTTTAAGGCGTCACAAAGCTCCTGGGGTAAAATGTACCCATTTCCATCCTTGTCAAAGTAAGAGAAGGCTTTGCGGAGATGCTCATCGTTTGCCACCTTTTGCAGGTGGAGGGAAACTGCAACAAATTCCCCATAGTCTAGAGTTCCTTTCCCTTTAGTATCCACCTGTTTTATACAAATTTGAATTATGAATACCATAATTTAGTGAACTTGGATAGTGAACGTGTAACAACAAAGATCATGCAAAGAAGTTTAACTCTACTTCTTCAGTCAAGCAATCAGTAATAAAAGTACGGTGATGTAGAAGGGAAAGATATGTGCACCGCTTCAATAAGCATCTGAACTTCTGATTCCGCTAGCTGTGTACCAAAATCGCGAAGTCCGGCTTTCAACTCCTCAATGGAAACTATACCATCATTATCAGTATCCATCTTGTTGAACATTACTTTGATGTCTTCTACTTCTTCGGTAGATAAGAATTCGGCAATAACCTGGTTTGAATAAGATTAGTAAGATAACTTTGGTTTAAGAAATGACTCATGCTAATAATTAATAATGACAATTTATCTGATTATCAAACCCTCAAAGCTTTTCTCTTGAATCTGTTCATCACTGAAAATTGCTTCAACCTGGACTTCACAACATCTCCAAGAGGAACATTGGGAGCTTTCTTTGCGTTCTGAATCCATGGGTGCTCTAACAAATGGGAAAGGATAACAAAAGCAGGAATAAGCATAAAATTCCAGATCAATGTAGTAGTGATTGGGCAAAGAGATAATAACAGATTCAGAGAGAAAGAGAAGAGGTCAAAGGTAGATTCTATGTACCAAGCACTTGCTTTGCAGTCAGCCGACGCTTCGGATCAGGCTCTAGCATTTGTCTGACTAGATTCTTAGCGGTCTCAGAAATGTTTGGCCACGGTTCCCTCTTAAAATCAATTACCCCGCGCAGAATAGCCTGAGCAACTCCCTGTTCTGACTCTGTGGTTGAAAGAAAAAATTGGTTGAAACTACAGAAGACTAGCATGCTAGAAGAGGCATTATAAGAATCAATAAGAAAATGCTCAGGAAGAGGACATCGAGAGAATAAAGAAGAGAGGAAAGGGTAAACAGACCTGCCCAGAATGGGGGAACTCCACACAACAGAATATAAAGAATCACTCCAGCACTCCAAATATCTATCTCGGGTCCATAGTTCCGCTTAAGCACCTCAGGTGCCATGTAATATGGACTCCCAACAATCTCGGAGAATTTCTCACCTGGAAATATGTAAGCATTACAAAAATAGCATCAACACCAAATAAACTGGTCAAGATACATCTAAGGTATCAATCAAGAAACATAAATCCTACAGAAACAAGAACCTCCCTCTATGACCCAGTATTCCACTGCAACAACACTGATCATCGGTTTAAACATGTCGGTGGAAACATCCAAAAGCTAGAGACTTAAAGAACGTGAATCCCTCATTTGTTGAGACTGTGACACTAATCTAAATTTCAACCAACTCCCTAAATGGAGAATCAGATATGGCACTCTTATTAAAGCTCCATAACTTCGAATCTAATACAAACAATGCAGTAACACACCTGGCTTGAAGAAAATCGACAATCCAAAATCAATAGCTTTTAACGGCGAGTTCTCCTTCTTATTAGCAAACAGAAAATTCTCCGGCTTCAAATCTCTATGAATCACACCATGCTTGTGACAAAGTTGCACAACCTCAACAATAGTCTTAGTAACCCCAGCAGCAGCACGCTCCGTATAATGCCCTCTCGCAACAATCCGATCGAAAAGCTCGCCACCTTCACAAAGCTCCATAACCAAATGCACAGCATTATCATCCTCACAAGCTTCCTTCAAAGTAACAATACTCGAACTCTTAGGCAAATGCTTCATAATCGCCACTTCTCTTTTAACATCCTCAATATCCACAGCAGTCCTAAGCTTCCTCTTCGAGATCGACTTGCAAGCGAGCAGGTCACGTGAAGACCTCTCGATACAGAGGTAAGTGACACCGAACTCGCCGCGGCCGAGTTCTCTGTCGAGTAAGTAACGGTCCTCGATGTTTTCCTTGGGAACATCGCTGAGAACTCGAATCGGCGCCGATTTTTTACCGCCGCCGGCGTCTTTACGGGCGTGATCGTGGCCGGAATAGTTGGATTTCACGTCTTCTCTAGCTACAGCTGCGGGAGATCTGCAACAGTTCCCCATCACTGTGTAGCTCTTCTCAGAGCTTCAAAAGTAGAAAGTAATAGAGGTAAAAGTAGATAGATCTCTAGCTGAATTTGAGGTATCTAGGGTTCCACATTCTACGCTTTGGGAGGAATCGTAACAATGGAAGCTATAGCTAGAGAGAAGCGTAGATCGAAGAAGCGTACGGTTCTCTGAAGATGAGAGGAGCTATAGAAAGAGAGAGAGGACTCTTTTTGAGTTTTTGATATTTATTTATTTTCTTTTTTCAAGTGATATTATATTTTTTCTGTATTTGTAAAACTCAATCATAATTTGGTCTCCTTGCTTTCTTTTTCTTTTTGAAAAACGGTCTTTACTTGTTTGGTAAATTTACACTTTATTGGGTTTTATTTTTTACATATGAATTCCTTTAAATTATAATAATGACAGCAATATTACATTTTGAAACAATTATGAAATCTTGATATGACCTATCATTCGAAAAATCGTCAGACAAATAACACACGTAACTCTAAATTTTTATTTTCGATTAAAGATAGACATACTCCGATCAAAATAGTATTTTACGTTTGATTCTGAAATATTATGTGCATTCAATATGTGTAATCATCTAATATATATACATCTCGAAATTAATTAAATTTGAATAACTACAACTATGAATAAAAAATATACAAAATAAAAGACAATAAGCAAAAATAAAACAAATATGAAGGCCTTTTAACAAAAAAATAAAAAATAAAACAAATAATATTGTTATAAGAAAAATGAACAAATGATAGAAAGAAAATCTCGAAAATGTTACCATTCAAGATTTTGAAATGCCATATTATTTTTTTTTCTTTTGTTCTAATATGCCATTTTTAGACTCTAAAAAAACAAGTAAAGATATTTTTTTTTTTTTGTCACAAAAGTGTTATCTTTATATATAAGTCAGTACAAACCAAACCAGTACAAACCAAGCCAGTACAAAGGTGAACAAAGCCACTATGAGCAACAGTCGTTACTACAGATATGATTACCAAGAACAAACTTGACAATCATTAACACTGGTTAAACATGTAGCATAAACTGAGCTAGTCTAAAACAGAATCCAAAAAGTGTTTTAATCTGTTCTAGAACATTATTCAACTAACAACTAAATTAAACCTGTAATAGCAGTTACAGGGACCCAAAAAGTGATGACAGAAGTTTGTAGAGCAATTTATCTTTTCTTAGGAGGCTTCAGAATTCCTCCTTTCTCATCTTCCTGTAGCTTTTTCTTTTGTTGCCTATCATCATCTCTGTTATTGAAGTGGGAATTGGTACGTTTTGACGATTCACCAACCTCAAAGTATCGAGGCATTCTGGAATTGATTCATTCATCAATACTTGGTGAAGTCGTGGATCCAGTGGAAGAATGTCTTCTCCAAGTGGCTGTGTGAGTGGTTGAAGTTGCCATATGTTGAAGATTTCCTAAGCTTGATACTGGGAATTGAGGATAGGCTGCTGCAAATTCATCAGGGTTTAAAGGTGGAGAATCTAACCTTGGTGGTGGAGTCAAAGGAGTTGGAAAAGTGTCATCCGAGTTCTGAGAGTGAGAGTTATGATTGGAGTGAATTTCATGACCATGAGTCCTTCTCCTATTGTAGACTGGTACATCAATAACTTCAGGACTATTTCTTGGAGTGTGAGGAAAATGATTGTAAGGACAGTGGCTGCTTTGATGAGTGAGTTGAAGACAACGACTGCAAATCCTTCTCAGGCTCTCATATTGAAAGCTAATCATAGCCTTTTCTCTAGATTCAAAGCAGACCCTTCTAAAGAACCTCAAACTATCAGTGATGCCAATGCGAATTCTAACTTTGATAAAAGTTATATCAGTAGTGGTCTCATCATGAAAATCTAGATAGATAACCTGTCTTATGGTTGCAACAGTAAACCTGGCTGTTCCTTCAGAAGCATATGGTAGTGGTATTCCGCGGATTTGAACCCATAGATCAAGGGTAGTGAGGAAATCAACATCGGGGAAGTCTTCCCAGCGTTGAGATGCGATGAACCAATTGTTAAAAACCCATGGAGCACGACGTTGAACTGATACTAAATCTGCTTCAGATTGAAATAAAAACTGGATGTAAGTATCACTTAGAACTCTACCATGTATTCGTGAAGCCAGTCCCCAGAGTCTTGGTAGTGATGCAACAACAGTATGTAAGTTTTGAGCTCTGTTGTTGAGAGGCCGAGCAAGAAGGCTAAGACGATTCCTATCAATTACATCAACATAAGTATGTTGAGGAATAAAGAGCTCTGGATCGTCTCGACCTAGGTTGAAGTTTTGCAATTCATCCCATAACCTATCTGCCATAGTTAGAGATAAAGAGAAAAACGAAAAAGAAAAAGAAGAAGAAAGATTTTGGGTGAAGAGTTAGAATAAGAGTCTGGAAGTATATATAATGGAGGGAAGATGAAGGAAAGTAAAAGAAGCGTTGGTTTTAGAACTTCAAGATTGACTAAAGTCAAGATAAGGTAAAAAAACCAAAGTAAAACAAAAACTGATGATAAAAAAAGAGAAGAGATAAGAAAGGAGAAAACCTAGGATTGAAGAAAGAGATAAACCTAGGTATTAAGTAAAAAAATTAATTAAGAGAAAAACAAAAAGAGATTTTGTCGTGAAACACAAGAGACAAAAATCAAACCTTCTTCTTGAAAGTGAAGGCTCCCAGGTAAGGCTAATTCTCAAATTCTTCCATCTTTTCTGACTCAAACAGAGATTGAAGCCAACTAGGAGAACCTGTTGCCACATAAGATTGAAAACGATTGTCTTGTATTACACTAAGAGCAATGAGAGAAGCCCCTTTGTTTGAAACAGATTCAGCTTTTTCAATTTGCCAGTTCTGAATAGGCTCTATCTGTTTGTTGATTTATGTAGCAAAGTATTGCAGAGAGATCCATTCTTTAGGTTTGATGACAGCGTTGACCATGTCAATAGCTTCAGAGGCAAAAATCACAAAGTTGATTTTGTGACTAATCATGCTATCTATAGCCCACATAATACTTTGAAATTTTGCTTCCATCAGAGAATAAATGTTAGAGAATGATCGTCTGCTGTGTAACAAAACTTTACCTTTATCATCTCGTAACACCCATGAGAAACCACCAATGCTGCTTTGTCTTGACCAAGCCATACCTATGTTGCATTTTAACCATGGTGCAGGAGGCTTCATCCAAGTCTTTATAATCTTTCCTCTGTCAAAGATTCTTGAAGTAGCATATATTGTTTCAATGGAATGAGCATTAAACCATTGGTTTGCTTCCTCTTTAATTTTCAACACTAGATCTGTAAGCACAATTTGCTTCCCTTCAAAGAGAAAACCATTTCTGTTTTTCCATAAATACCAAAGAATCCACGGGAAGCTCCTTCTTATAGATGCTGATACTTCTTGATTCTGAGCTAGAGAAAGTAAATATTGGAGATTGGCAAATTCCGATTCAAAACCACCTGGTGGACAAGGAAAATCATAGATAGCCCAGACTTGACGCGCAATTGAACACGAGAACAATACATGATTAGTAGATTCTGTTTCCCAACCACAGAATTGACATCGTGTATCACTACTCATTCCTCTGATTTCCAACTTATCACCGACAGCAATAGCCCCACTTAGGGCTCTCCAAATAAAACATTTAATATTTGGAGAAGTCTGTAATGACCAGACCTGAGTTTTTAAGTCGTTTAATGAAGGACGCATCTCAGCAGCTTCAATGAGATCAGAGTTATGAAGTCTATTGGCTAACCAGTAGCCTGGTTTAACTGAGTACTCACCACTTCTATTATGCAGCCAACACCAAAAATCATCTTTTGAAGTCACTGGTTTATTGATCAGAATTAGATTCACATCCCTGGGGTAGAATAACTCCTGCAGTTTTTCCATGTTCCAGGCTCTATTTTGAAAATCAATTAAGGCTGAAACTTGAAGATTTAAATCCACAAAGATATTTCGCATGAACGGAACTCTCATTCCATTATCAAAAAGCCATGGATCAATCCAGACAAGAGAAGAATTACCATTACCAATCATCTTGCGGAGACCTTGTAGTAGCAATTGACGTCCATGTAAAATACTCCTCCAAATAAATGAAGGCCTGGAACCCAAAGTTGCGTAGAGAATTCCATTATCTTCGAAATATCTGCTTTTCATAACTCTAGCAAAAAGGCTTGAAGGATGTTGCAAAATTCTCCAAACTTGTTTTGCTAACAAGGCTTGATTAAAGCATTGTAAATCCCTGAAACCTAATCCACCTTGATCTTTAGATAAGCACAGTTTACCCCAGCTTAACCAATGAGTTTTCTTTTTATGTTCCAGAGAATTCCACCAGAAATTGGACATGGCAGCAGTAAGTTTTTCGCAAGTTGTTTTTGGTAATTTAAAACAAGTCATGGCATATACTGGAAGAGCCATTGCAATTGCTTTAAGAAGAACTTCTTTACCTCCAAGCGACAAGGTGCGTTCAAACCAGCCAGATATATATATATATATATATATATATATATATATATATATTTTGTTTTTTTTTATACTTTCATAGACAGAAAATACTAAAACGAACATTTCTAGTTTTTTTTTTTGTAAATCTAAAAAATAGATGCGAAATTTTTTGCCCAATGTAATTCGAGTATTCATTTTATCAAAAATGAGCTGGCCAATTCAAAAAAGGTATGTAACATGCGAACGTAAGTGGTAGGAGCCTAGGACTTGGAGGAGATTGAAAATTTTGTGATGTTTCAAAACGATCGTGTGGTCAATGTCAACAATCATTTGTTTGGCCTTTGAGAAAGTCCTTTTTTTCTTGTTATAAAGGACTTGCATTAGAATGGTACATTTATATACCTAAATGGAATTGAATCATACACATACTTACTTTCTAGATATCCACAAAACTCTATGATGTAATATGTATCTTCCAATCTCAACATAGCAAAGATAGTATCATATTTTCTACTAGAGTCGTCTACATATTATGGTGGTTTAAATACATGTCCATCTCTATAAGATTGAGGAATATTAGTGAGTACTTCATTAATTTGTAAACCCGCAATGGTTGCTTTTGAGTTTTGAGAGCAAACCAATGTCTAGTTTCCATATTTGGAAACCGACCAACCCATCAAGATGCGTAGATGTAGTTGCAAACGTCCACCACCACATATCTTATTTGGTGGAGCGTGGTTCACAAAAATGTTTGGAAATGTAACAAACGTCCATTTACTACATCCGAAGCACCAAACATGCGTTCACATTTGACCCAATGTTAACCAACCAAATCTTAAGATGTGGAGATGCATTCACACATGCCACATACAGGAACATATCTACTTAACTTATCTGAAATGCGTTCACACGTCTAGTACCAAAGACTTGCCATGAATAAAGATAAGATGGGAGATCAATTTGTAACGGTTATCTTCCTTTTTTGACGTCCAAAAGATCACTTGAATTTAGTCTCATTTCGCAGTGACGATTCCATTGGACAACGTGTGACTATATTTTTGGCTCATCACTTTTGTGTAGTAGTGTCATCTACCATCTTGCGACATAGTTCTCTTATAATTGGCTGACAAAATCCATTAAACCGATAACAAAATATTATAATATGTCATACACACTAGTGATTCCTCAAGAACCCATCGATATTCTTTGCTTGACCGCTTCCGTAAACTATCCACTCCGAAGCTTTTACATCATATTGTCTTTGTTAATATAGGAAAATACAGACACAATTGGTCAATGATAATCATTTCAACTTCTAAAAGAATTTGGTAGTCAAAAAACTTAAAAGGCAAGATTTATCGGGACATTAATTAGGACAAGGTAGATGAATGCATTATAGAAAAAATAAAAAATCATAAACATACATTTCATAATCATAATCATGATAAACATATATATATATATATATATGTTTTTTATAAAACCCTTTAACAAAATTTGTTTGTTTGTTTTTGGAAAAATCATTGCTAGCTACACGAACTATACGCGAACACATCACCACACATGCAGATTATTTTAATGTTTCGCTAACTAAACTAACTATTGGTATTACATACGGACATCCCTGAACTATCATCGGTTATGATGTTGCCATTTCCAAATAATATAAATGTCTTGTTAACTACACAAAGTATTTTTTTTTTTTGTCAACTACACGAAGTATTTTCATCAATTTTTTTTTTAAACTAATAAGTTAAATAAAACTATATAATATATCAATTTAAATTATAATGCACACATATATCAATGTAAATTATAATTTAATTAAGTGACACTTTTAAAAATTTAGTTAAATTAATTTCATATAAAATATATGTGTGCATTAAAAAATAGTTAATTAATTTAACTTAAAATTATAAGGGATACTGCATATGTGTTGGGGTCGGATCCCACACATTTTTGGTAGGATCCACTTGGATCTGTCCATGTCATTATTACATAATAATCCTCTTGGAGTTAAAGATATTTTATTATGAGAATCAAGCTTGACCAGTCGGGAGTTCGATTCGGTTTACTAAAAGAGTTAGATCTTTACCAGTACGGAATTCGCTCTTATTCAACATACAGTTCGCATAGAGAAAGGCTGAAGCGAGGAGAATATTGTTCGAGGTTCGCGGCAGCGTCAAGACGCGGGAGTTCGGAGTCAACAAGAAAGAGTTCGGAAGATCCGCGCGAAGCCCAAGATAGTTCAAATTCAAGCCGTTTCGGTCAAAATGTAAATTATATGATTAATGCGGATCAATGCGATTATGAGCAGTAAATGACCGCATTGATCATGTTTTCTCTATAAAAACAACCTCAAACGCATGTGTTTGAGGGGAGAGGCGACTATTCATTACTTCTGAGCAATACAATATATTTTTCTCTCTTTACTATCTTTCGCAAGGCATTTTGTACTTCGTCTTTATCAATTTTTCCTCATTTCTTTTCTTGGTTGATTTCCTTTTCAAATTCTCATATTCATTTCCTGATTTTACAAGAGTTTTTCTCCACAAAAATACTTAAAGATAATCGTGTGTGAATCCTACATCCATAATATGTAGAATTTAAACTTTAAAAGTTATAATGCATATATATAATTAACAATAGTGTATTATTTACTTTTAGTTATTTTTTCATTTTGTAATTTAGTTTTTAAAAAATGATGGAAATATTTCGTGTAGTTAACAATACATTTATATTATCTGGAAATGATGGTTATGGTATATAATTTACATATTATTTAGTTTTATTTAACTTATAGTGATGTATAATTTAACTAAGTGACTATTTTAAATTTTTAACAATTTAATATAATAAATATTAAATTAGTTAAATTAATTTAACTTAAAAGTATAATGCATTAAAAGTTATAATATATATATATAATTTATAATAGCGTAATATTTACTTTTTAGTTATTTTTTTATTTTTTAATTACTTTTTTAACAAAAAAATTGATAGAAAATACTTCGTGTAGTTGACAAAAAAAAGAAATACTTCGTGTAGTTAACAAGATATTTATATTATCTGAAAATGATGGTTATGGTG